GAGCTGATAGCTAACGTGACTTTGGCCTAACTGGACATCTTTCAGGGATTAGTAATAACTTCTGTAGGAATAAGATAGTCACTATGCTGTATCCCACTCTGCTGTAATGGTTGAAAGGATGAGCAAGAGAGCTAGCTGGGAAGCACGTTGCTTCCTTTTTTGTTGTTGTTTTGTTTTAATTTGTTTTCATTTCCAAATAAGATTTCCAGTGCTTTGCCTCTACCTTAAGGGCAAGGAGGTGAGAACTAAGTCAAGGACAAGTTGCAGACCGCAGTATAGTTTGGACTTGGGGAAGTCAACGGGAGCCAAGGTCTTCAAAATCTTCATTGACTTCAGGACTTTGAGGAAGATAGCTTTAAATAATAAACAAACAAGCAACTTTAGTCCACAATGCACAGGAAAAGAAAAATCCTAGAGAAGTGTAAGAGGACTAAATTTGCCCCTAAGTAGATTAAAAAGTAGATCAAATTCTAAGGTGCCATTGAGGCCCGTAGGACTTGAAGGCAGTGTGGAGTGCAGAGGCTGCAGGTGCTATGACTGTCTGATTTGCCCAGTCTTCCTTACCTGCACTTCTAAATTGAGGTTACATTGGATATAATTCTCACGTACCTTCTTGCTGGCCACCTTGTTCCTGAAGGCATCGCCTGCCTTCCAGACCATGCTGCTTCCACCTTTGCCAGATTCTTTGCCAAGCTTCCCAAGGAGGCAGGAGTCCAGGTAGAAGCCCTGAGCTTGTACTCCCCCGCCTGAGCCCTAACCATGCTGAGTCAATCTTCTGCTCCCAGTGTGGATGAAATGTCACACTGTAAAGATCTGGTTTCCTGACAGCCAACAAGTGATTGGATGGTATACAAGTGCAAGATAGTCTATTCTCTGAGCCAAACTTGACTAACGAGAAATGGGATATGGAAGGAAACAGAGAGAGCCAATACCAGCTCCTTCATTCTCCTGGGGGCTGCTTTAAGCTTTGTTTTCTCCCTAAAGAAAACTTCTCCAGGTTCGGCACCTGTAGCTTAGCGGCTAGGGTGCCTGCCACATACACCACAGCTGGTAAATTTGAACCCAGTCCAGGCCTGCCAAACAACAATGACAACTGCAGTCGAAGAATGGCCAGGCGTTGTGGCAGCTGCCTATAGTTCTGGCTACTTGGGAGACTGAGGCAAGAGAATTGTTTATGTCCAAGAATGAGAGGTTGCTGTGAGCTGTAACGCCACAGCACTCTACGGAGGGTGACATGGTAAGACTCTGTCTCAAAAAATAAAAGAAAAAAAAAAACAAAAAAACTTCTCCTTGTGGAGAAGTGGTTCCATGTGCCAAAATCCCTGCTGAGACCCCCATGAGCCTCTTCATAGCCCATGGTGCCACGGTAGCTCGCCTGGTAACTGGTCCCATCGTCCCACCACGCAGCCTCCCATTTTTTCTTGCCTCTTTCCCCCTATTTCTCCCCCTTTTACTATGCTGGGCTTGCACTTCCCAAATCTAGTGTCAGCTTTTCAATCCTTGTCTCAGGCTGTACTTTGCAGAAAAGGGTTTTGCATGGAGAATTCTGATACCAGGATTCATTTGACTGTCATGCTGGATATCCTCCCCTCGCCCCTCTGGGGCCAACTCCCACTTTTCTGCACTCTGGCCCTCTGTCCTGGGAGGCTGCTGAGCCTCCCTGTGGGGTTCCTCCCCTCCCAGCAGGGTTCCCAGCACCCTGTGGCCACAAGCTAGATCCAGCCAATGGAAGACCCTGGTAGGAGATTGGAGGGAGACACTATTTGTTTTTCTGGCTCCCTCCCTGTGAAAGGTCACCTTGGACTGGTTGTAGCTGCAGCTGATGGTCTCCTCTGTCCCACTTTCTTTTTGGATTTCTGAGAACTGCTTCCTCTTCACATCCCTTCGGACCTAGAGACATAACTCCACACTGCCACCCTCAGATCACTGTACTTCCCTTCGCGGAGCCTCTATACCCTGCCCCCCCACTCCTTTGTAATTAGTCTCTTTATAAATAAACCCTTCTCAGCTTATTCTAATTTGAGCGTGCCATCTGTTTTCTGTTGGGGCCAAGAGTGAAAAGGAGCAGCTAAATGATAATATGATTTATCTATTTTGGAATAGCGAATAGCCGTTACAAATCAGTTCATGTCTAGTAGCAAAAGAAAGCGATGCATTAATTTTTTTTTTTAAACCACTTAAGGTCAAACAATCAGAGTTCTGGCAGAAAACAGAATTCCACTGCCTGAAGGGCCTTTAATGTAGGGACTATTTAGGAGAGAGGAGCAAAGTAAAGGGAATCCATAAGGGAAAGAGCAGAAAGCTACCCCTCCCTCCTACTGAATGAACAAAAAGAATGAACAGTGTCGTACAGCTGTTCATTTAAGTCCATTAAAACTGGGAGCCCCGGACGAGTCCCATCACGGAAGGGCACAGGTCCTGACAGGGGCTCAGTTTGCAGCAGGTTGGGAATGGAGAACAAATGCCCTGACCTTTCTCCCCTCCTGCCCCTCCCACCCAATAATCTCTCTGTAATCTCTTGTCTCCCATTGCTCCCTCTTACTGGCTGAACGGAGCTGGAAACCAGAATGATGTGGCCCTTGGAGTCAGCCCACTTGGGTTCAGAAGGACAAAGAATGGGTTTAAATTGTGGGAGTGGGGAGGGTAACAGACAAAAACCAGTATGGTCAGAATATCAAAGTCTATTCAGACATAATCCTAATTTTGTGAAAAGTAATAAATGTACCATGTAGACTGAACTAGACAGTTACTGCAAGTAGCAGAATAATAATAAATGGTTTTATTTTTATAGTGTTTGGTATGTTTACCAAATCAAGGAAATTGCTGTGTATGATTTTAAATTTATTTTAGAAAAAGTAAATGCTGAGTGGAAATAATGCCTATTTTAATTTTCTTTCTTCTTTTTTTTGAGACAGCGTCTCACTCGGCCACCCTGGGGTGAGTGCCCTGGCGTCATAGCTCACAGCAACCTCAAACTCCTGGGCTCAAGCCATCCTCTTGTCTCAGCCTCCTGAGTAGCTGGGACTATGGGCACCTACCACAATGCCCAGCTATTTTTAGAGATGAGGTCTCACTCTGGCTCAGGCTGGTTTCAAACCCATGAGCTCAGGCAATCCACCTGCCTCAGCCTCCCCCCAGCCTTAATTTTCTTTTTTTTTTTTTTCACTTCAAAAATATGGAACACTTCACAAATTGGCGTGTCATCCTTGTGCAGGGGCCATGCTAATCTTCTCTGTATCATTCCAATTTTAGTATATGTGCTGCAGAAGCGAGCACCTTAATTTTCATTTTTAAAGGAAGTATTTACTATCAGTGACTCCTTGTAATAGGAAATTTCACCTCCTGAATTTTTCCCAGAAGCAAGATCTCATCTAGAGTTAAGATTAAGGCCAAAGGAGGGAGGGGTTGTGTATTTTTCACAGCACCAGTTTTCACACGATTCTGTCAACCAATAAGAAAGAATAATAAACCAATGTGCAACAGATGCTATCCCAGTTCTAATTTTATTAGTAGATCTGGAATCCCATTGATTACTATTCACTTTGGCCAAGCTGAGTTGTGCCATTCAGTTTGTCAAACAAAATTTCACATCCCAGAGTTGAAGGCACAAACCTGTGGATAGGTGTCCGTCGTCCGGGCATATATCACCCCAAAATCCTTTCAATTTAATTGTAAACAAATATCCCTCTCAGATGATATTTCAAAATTGCTTTTAGAACTGCTTGATTTCTTTTTCTATCATTTTATGACATTTACTTTTTTACTTAAACTACAAATAAGGCGCCAGGGAGGTCACAGTGATATTGTCAGCAGTCCGCGTTTACCCTGGTGTTTTCCACACCCTGCGTGCCTTTTCTATTCTTAGCACTGTCCTCAGGCTCATTGTCAGCTCACATTCAGGGCAGGGGCCAAAAGAAGGCAGCTATTTCATCTGAAGAAATATTCCATGTGTTCAGAATGAGTTAGCAAATCTTTGGAATGTCACGGACCAGCTGTTGAAGGCAATATTCCTAAAACAAATTCTTAACCTCTACCAATATCTTGCCCTTGAGCCAAGCAGCACTTTGGGAGCATATCACAAGCACCAATTATCAGACGTCTTCATAAACTCCCATGCCCAGTGTGAGCTCAGGTGTCCTAACCTCCGCCGGCTGTGCAGCTATTTAAAGCTAAGGATTATGCGGAGACAGCAGATGCAACATCCATCTCCAGTAGTCGAAAATGTTAAGGAACATCTAAATAGCCCAGATTAAAATTTGCTGAATTCAGTAATCAAACTTTCTAAAGTCGTTTTCTAAACTTAATTTATAAGAGGATATGGTAATGCATATCTTATCAACATTTCGTAAGTGTCCATAGATTTTATACTATTTTTTTTAAATAAACGATTCAGATAAGATTCAGTTTAGATTAAAAAAGATGAATGAGGTACATATTTGAACTTTAAAAAAAATAAGATTATCTGAAAATTCCAACTGCCGTTTAAGGCAGGTTATCATCATGAAGCATAAATAGATTTCAGATCCAATTTCCAACAACATTATTTTAATTTCCAGGCTCCACCTTTACAAAGTACCACTTTAATTAAAATACACTAAGAAACAAAAAAGCTTATCAAGTGAAAGGAATCCCACAACTGTTTTTAGCAATACACAAATGTTCGTAAAATGAGTAAGAATTCTTTGAATGCATATGGCTCTTTGCCATCAGTTATCACAAATGCAGCCTCCCCGGTGCTGTCAGAGTAAAGAAGAAATAAGCCCCAGTCCTCTCCACTAGCAAACTACAGTCTCCTAAATTTTCAGTGTTCCAGTTGTTAAGAACAGTATCACTGTGAGCTGCACAGACATATTTAACAGGTCTCCTTTCTGAGTAAGAAATAATAAAGACAACCTCAACATACCAGGAGCTATGTACATATTTTTAATCTTCATAAAAATCGTGGTAAATCATTTCAAACGTCGGTGATACAATCATTCCCATGAGATCATTAACTGAACTATAATACTGGTGTCCTGTGAACAGGAACTGATACGATCTCACTTAGTCTCAGCTGGATCCTTTACTTCTACCACCAAAATTCCATCGTGGCAGAGGATCGCAGACAAGTCTTGGGTTTCCACGCCATCTGGCAGCTTGTACTGTCGGGTGAAGCTCCTTGAGACAAACCCATGCTCGTCCATTCTGGTTCCGTGTTGCGCCTTGATCAGCAGCCAGCCTTCGAAAGTCTGAATGATGATGTCTTCGGGGAGGAACTGGACCACGTCCAGCAGGATTTGAAAGCGGGCTTTGCCTTGTCCGGGCAGCGACTCTGCGGCCGAGTCCCCTGCAGGAGGCTGCGCCTCCGCCCTGGGCTTACTCAGGTCGGTGATGGTTGGCCCTGGCAGTGCGTATAAAGCATGATCCAGCCTGCAGTCTTCCAAACCTCGAGCTTCAAACTCCTCCTGGTAGCGCACTGGAGTCTCTATCAGGTGCCTCAAAATGATCTTTGCCATACTGGAAGCAAAAACAGCACCCAACCGCCTCGCCTCGTCCACCTGCAGTCAGTGGGCGCCTTCGCAAGTGCTGCAACCTGGATTTCCAGTCGGAGCAGCTAGTGGTTTGCAGCCGTCCCCAGACACAGCCACTTAATTAGGCCTGAATCATAACGCGGCACATTCTCTTGTCTTTTCTCACGCGCCGACAATGAACGGCTATTTATAGGGCATGTTTCGGAGTCGCATTTAGCACACAGCAAGCAAAAGCTGCCCAGTCAAGGACTGCTCTCACATTCTCAGTTATCCTTGGCAAATGCCTTGTGCCTTGCTTACCTCAAGAGAAAAAGAGAGTGGGGATCAGAAACAGTACTGAAACGTAGCTGAGGGCTTTCTCTTGGTGAACTACAATGACTAAGGAACTCAGACTCCTTAGAACAGTGCAGAGATGTGCCCTGGTCTCGTGTTACCAGCCGATACTCTGCGGATGCAGACCGAGGGAGACAAGAATGTAGCTGGAGTTGATGAGAAATTAAGACTGGTGCACATGTATGTATTCAAATCTCCAACGTGCCCCAAACTCTCAACCCTCAGTCCTCCCATTTCTTTTTATTTTATTTTTTAGTCTTTTGGACTTAAGAGGCATCTGAGCCACATCATCTGTGTTTATTTAGATTTGACTCATCAAAAAGGAGATCAAATGACTAAGCTAGAGAAGCATTACACATCCGAGGGGGATTGGAGAGGCATTGAGTGGGGGAATCTTAGTGATGAAAATAGAGCCATTGGGAGAGAAAAATGTCAAAGCTTTGAACTATGCAATATTAAAGACCAGAATACTAAGGATTAATCTAGTTTTTGAATTGGCAAAAATAAATTATATACTATATAATTCTCAACTATAGCACCTTTCATATTAAACTTTCTTTGAAAAAGAGTGAAGCAGGCCAGGTGTGGTGGGATACGCCTATAATCCTAACACTCTGTGAGGCTGAGACAGGAAGATCCCTTGAGCTCAAGATACCCAGGCTTTGTGGCATGTGGCTATAGTTCCAGCTACTTGGGAGGCTGAGGCAAGAGAATCACTTGAGCCCAAGAGTTGGATGTTGCTGTGAGCTGTGACACCATGGCACTCTACTGAGGGCAACATAATGGAACTCTGTATAAATAAATTAATTAATTAAAAAGAATGAGGCGGCTCGTTATCCACAGCTATGAAAGTTTCCCCAAGATAAGTTAAATTAAAAAAGAAAAGTTCAGAACAGCATATAATATGAATTTACAGTCAGCCTGAACAAGAGCGAGACCCAGTCTCTACTAAAAATAAAAAAATTAACAGGATGTTGTGGTGGGAGCCTGTACTACAGCTACTTGGGAGGCTGAGGCAGGAGGATTGCTTGAACCTAGGTGTTTCAGGTTCCTGTGAAATAATGCTGATGCCACAACATTCTAGCCTGGGCAAGAGACTCTGTCTCAAAAGAAAAAAAAAATTATAATTTAAAAGAAAGAAAAAGGCTTGGCACCCATAGCTCAGTGGTTCGGGTGCCAGCCACATGCACCAGGGCTAGTGGGTTCGAACAGGCCCGGGCAGGCCCGCTATAAAAACAAACAAAAAACAATAGCCAGGTGTTGTGGCAGGCAGCTATAGTCCCAGCTGCTCGGGAGGCTGAGCCAAGAGAATCACTTGAGCCCAAGAGTTGGAGGTTGTTGTGAGCTGTGACACCATGGCACTCTACTGAGGGCAACATAGTGGAATTCTGTCTAAATAAATAAATAAATAAATGAAAAAGAATGAGGCAGCTCTTTATCCACAGCTACAGAAGTTTCCCCAAGACATGTTAAATAAAAAAAAAAAAAAAAGTCCGGAACAGCATATAATATGATGTAATATGCTACTTTTTTGTTGTTATTGTTTTATTATTTTTAGATATTGGATCTCACTCTCACCCAGGCAGGAGTGCAGCTTTGAATTTCTGCATAGCTCATCATAGCTCACTGCAGCCTTGAATTTCTGGGCTCAAGAGAGCCTTCTGCCTCAGCCTCCTGAGTACCTGGGGCCACACGCATGTACCACCACATCTGCCTAATTTGTAAATGTTTTGTAGAGAAAAGGTCTTGCCATGTTGTCCAGACTATTCTCCAACTCTTGGCCTCAATGGGTCTTAGCCTCCTTAGCCTCCCAAATCCCTGGGATTAGAGACATGAGCAACTGCACCCGGTCTATTTATACATTTTTTTAAAAAGTAGATATTTACTTATATAAATAGACGGTCTCTGAGTGACATATAGCTGGGGGCAATGGTAGCCTCTTGTGAGGGGTGATCAGGGGGCAGAGGCGGAGGGAGACTTACTTTTCAATCTAAACACTTCTGTGCTTTTTATCTGCAGAGTGTATATGGACTACACATGCTATACCTAATATGCTTTAAATGTGAAAAACTTCCTTTCTGTGCAGATTGGTATTTTCTGGGGTGGGTAGACTTAGGAATATCTTTCCTTTAAAAACATGCATTGTCTTAGAATGAAAGAAAAATGTCTATTAAAAATGAAAAAATCAGAAAACAGAAGGAAAAAACCTTCTTTAGCTGCCTTTATTACCCTAAAAAAAACCTCTGTGGACAAGTTGGCATACACTTAGAAACATGCCCTCCGAATGATGTTCATACTCAGTTTCTTGACCTGAACTTTGCAGGTCAATGGCCCTCAGGGGGACAGTGTACTCTTTCAGATATGTTCATGTCCTCTGGCTCTTCAAATATTAATAAGATGTTTTTATCAATACTGCTCTTAGTGATAAGTCAAGATCAGAAATTGCTGCTGGTTATAAGATAATTGATAGGATAATAAGAATTTGGCTTTAAAGCGCTAGAAAGATATATAGCGAAGTTGACAGAAAGGCACAGACATTTCCCACATATACTTTGCCCCCACACAATGCACAGCATCCCCCATTAGCATCACTGCTCCCCTAAAAGTGGTACATTTGTTATAATTGATCAACTTACGTTGACACACATTATCACTCAGAGTCCTTAGTTTACACTAGGGTTCGCACTTCTTTTCTTAAAGACAGGATCTGGTCTTGCTCTGTTGTCCAGGCTGGAGTATAGTGGCACTACTTAGCCCAGTGTAGCCTTGAATTCCTACCCTCGAGTGATCCTCCTGCCTTAGCCTCCCAAATTGCTGGGACCATTGTGAATCACATGAGGCCAGGAGCTCAAGGCTGTATTGAGCTATAATCTCCTTTTTCACACCTCTATGGAGCCCAGCAGACCAAAAGGAAATGTAAATGTGTCTCTTGGCATTCACTAGCTCTTTTTGTCTTTTACTTTTTATTTTTTTGTTGAGACTGAGTCTCACTTTGTCATCCTTGGTAGAGTGCTATGGCTGGAGCTCACAGAAACCTCCAACTCTTGGGCTCAAATGATTCTTTTGCCTCAGCCTCCTTAGTGGATGAGACTACAGGCACCCACCACAATGCCTGGCTATTTTTCTTGTTTAGCGGCCCGGGCTGGGTTTGAACCCACCAGTCCCAGAGTATGTGGCTGGCACCCTAGCCATTGAGCTACGGGCACCCAGCCACTTTTTGTCTTTCAGAATTTGTTCCTTTAGCCTCAGGTGGTTCCTGAGTATGCCACACAAACAATGGGTGAGTGAACGTCAGGCCTCAGGATTGGAAACCTATAAAAAAGTCTGTCTTCAACCTGTCAGAGGAAAATTAGATACAGCATTCACAATGACAGTATCTTGAGAATTTGGCAGCAACTACTTTTTTTTTGTGCCCCCCCTTAAATTCAGTTAACCCCTTCACCTCAACTAGGGACATTCTTTTTTTCCTTCTTTGGGACGCCAGGTCATTTCCCTACTCTCTTTTCTCTCTCTTTCCACATTCTTTTTCCTCTCTTTCTCTTTGTAAAGATAAAATGAACTTACACTTTTAAATCCTAACCTCGCGCTAAAGAAATTCTTTTCTTGTCCCACACAGAGCACCTACTGAGCCATCCTTATAGTAATATATATGTATAATGTAAATAATACATTTATGTAGTGCAATCATTACCATTATCAGCATGCAAAATTATCTCACTTTGGATGTGTAGTCCAGTTGGGGAAGACAGACAATAGCCCCTTGAGGTCAGAAACTGTATATTTAACAATGGTATCTCCAGCACCTGATACAACCTGAAAAATGGTAACTGTTCAAAATATTTATTGAAGGAGAAACTATCAAGGTGCCACAAGTTTTGTGATTTTTATTTCAGCTGTCCTGTGATGTCACCAGGCCATCCTGTGTACTTTGGTCAGCTTGTCCTTTCTCCAAAGTTGGGGATTCCCAACTTCCCTCTCCCCTTTCTCCCAGATAAGCAATTTGCTCTGTCCCCGCTCTTGTCCTCCCAGTTATTCCTTTTCTTGATGTTCTCCAATCTCTATCTCCATGGCCAAGGGTTGCTCATCTTTTTCAAATAACACCAAACCTCCTAGACCTTGTGACACCTTCTGGCTAATTATTTTTCCCCCCTCACTGCCCAACTTCTGGAGTTTGCAGCCTGAGTTGCAATTTAACTTCTGCTCTAGGGCAACTCTGTTCATGGTCAGATCAAAGAAGCCCTGTTGATAGATCTATAGTGACATCCTTATCTTCCTAAACCTCTTTAGCTTTTAGCATAAGCCTCTTAGCAAAAAAGAATGAGAAATATTTTTTTCCTAGCCTTCTCAAGCGGGCAAACAGAATTTTATATTGTATTTTATTGTATGCATTCTCCATGGGGGTAATATTGCCTCAAGGAGGCCAAAAGTGCTTCTTATGGAGAAAAAAGAACAAAAAAAGCATATAATCTAAGATTACATAAAATCTTAGATTTTATATAGTGATTTATGGCCTTCCAAAGGGCCATAATACATAAACAGACACTGAATGTATTTATGTTTTTATAATTTCATGAGGAACTGAAGGAGAAATTAGGCAATAAACATCAAAAGAGATTTCTGGGAGGGAGGAATGATTCAATAAAAAAGGTGAGAAATCGAGCAGTCTGCTTCATTGGT